GGATCCAGTAAACATGTGGTTGCATTCAGCCTCCCGAGAATCCTGTCCACATCCTCAGGAGCCACAGAGTCAAACTCCTCCCATATAACCGTCTCAAGACTTACTCCTGACTCCTCCCCCGGGGCCACCCAGTCAGAGTCAAGACCTTCTCGGATCCGAGCGACTTTGTCAACAAGATATTGTGCAAAATCCTCGGCCCTCCCCCCCAAGGGATCCTCCCCCCCCCAACTGGAGGAGGGAGCGAGTCACCCTGAAGAGGGGACATATATATGTTCCACAACATACCCATAACTGCCTATGCAGCTGTGGACCAGTTGTATTTTCTGAGCGGTGTTCCAGGACAGCTCCAAGTAGCATGCATTATAATAGTCCAACCGAGAGGTGACCAATGCACGTGTGATTGTTCAAAGGACCTCCTAGTCCAGGAACAGGCACCACTGCCATACCTTGATGTACCCGTACAAAGGCTTCAAGCAGGAGCTGTGTATTCAAAAAGACCCTCATGTCAACGTGCACCCAATTAAAGAATAAAGATGGAATATCACAGAAAAGGGGGAGGGGAGATGAAACCATTTAAAAGAACTTCAAGGCAAGGATTTCTTCCTTAAAGAACATTTTATTTTAGGAAACAAGATATCGGCAAGTACAAAGGTGAACCCAAGACTAAAATCCCCTCCCTCTGGTTACAAAGTTACAAGTTGCAATTCCCACCCCAATTAGCTGTCATCAATCACATTCAGCAATTGTTACAAAACACAGGCTCTCCTCCCAGCTCTCCAACGGGCCAAAATGTTATCAGCAATGACCTTGGTTCTCACACATCTGAATTGTTTTGGCTAACTGAAAACTACATCTCCCCCCTCCCATCTTCCTTCAGCTAAAACCTCTAAACTAATATGTGGCAACAAAGACAAAATGAAAATGGCTTCAGTTTGGTTTGTCACAGTGTTGACAGATTGAGCTAGACCTGCAAATTGGATCTGATCTTCAACAGCATCTCTTAATCAGCCCAGGGCCAAGAGATATAATTGGGGATCATTAGCATACTGATGATATTTGACTCCAAACTGATGGATGATCTCACCTAGTGGATTCATGTGAATGTGAAAAAGGGAGAGAGAGTTGAATCCTGGGACACTCCACAAGTAACAGATTATAAATGTAGACGTGTCAGGATTGAAACTAGACACAGAGCCAACACAGAGTAGTGCCAACCACTTCCAATCCCTGAAGCTACCTAAGAGGATGTAGTAGTTGGTGATACCGAAAGCTGCCAAGAGATCAAGGAGCACTAAGATGATTGTACCACCCTATCCTGGCTCCACTGCAGTTTAGCAAGACCAGTGTGGTCTCCATAACTGCATATTGGCCTGAAATCCAACAGAAATTGGCCTAGATCAGTGGCCCCCAACCTTTTGAGCACCAGGGACCGGTTGCATGGGGAAGCATTTTTCCGTGGACCGGAAGAGGCGTGGTTTCGCCTGCATCCTGTAGATGGGGCTTCACTTGTTTGTACGGACTGGTTTCTGGCATGCTGCGGCCCGGTGCTGGTCCACGGACCGGGGGTTGGGGACCCCTAGTCTAGATAATCTGTTTCTTCCGGGGTCCTTTAGAGTTGAAGACTAGAATTGAAGCATTAGATTTCAACAGCCATGTTGTATGAATCCTTATTTAAAAATAAATCGTTACAGCAATTTTCTCCCAAGTAAGTGTACACAGCGTTATAACTTGTAATACGGGGAAGAAGCAGTAAATGAGATTAGTACATAAAATTTCAAAATAGAAACAGGTGGGATGCCACAGTGTAGAGCTCTTTAAAATGTGTTCCCCTTTTAAGGCACTCGCCATAAAAATCTGACTCCAGCTTTCTGTGGTGTCACAGTGTACGGTTAACAGTTTTGTCTAGCAGCCGGATTACCTGGGGGGGGAAAGTAGCATTTTATTGGCTTTTGAGATATCTGCTGCCCCAAGCAAACTGGATGGCATACATTTTGCTTGCTTAATGCATAATGTAAACCAGGGAGAGGCAACATCATGATCCTGGACACCAGTGTACACACGGCACCTCCTTTTCTATCTACACAATTTCATTTTTTTTTTTTTTTGAAGAGCAACATGCTACAATGTCAGTGTTTAGCATCGGCATCACTTGCACATGGAACTCCCCAAAGACATTTTTAGAAAGTAAAATGGTGTGTGTGTCTGTGTGTGTGGCTACAATCCAGTGTTTTGTTGGATGATGTGAACATCTCCAAGTGGTAGAATGCATCCTAGGGGGAAATTCAGTTTACCTTTGGGGAGTGAGCATTAGTGTCCACGCAGCAATCCTGCAAAAGAGTCCGTGTGACTTTCCCAAAACTCTTACCTGTGTCTGTTTGACTTGAAGAGGTTGCCTGCTCCTGGTATATATTTGAAGGCAGCCTTGTCCCAGTTGTTTTCTTTCATTTGTATTTCATGAAATCCATGCATGTTGAGTTGGTGAGCCATCGGACCAGTTCATGAGGTCAACGGCTGTTTTGTTCTTCTGATTGGCACAGGAATTTCCTTTTTTCACTTTGACGACGTTTCCTCCGGGCTTCCTTCTCCACGTGGGTGGGGTCGTCAGCGCCCGCTCTGTGAAGCTCTTGGATCGTATCCACAATCCAGGTATGTTATAAGCCTAAATCTGTTTACATTTCGTTCTGACCTTGTTTCGTTGTGTTTATGTTTTATCATCTGCTGGAGGTAAGAATTTGGAAAATGTTTAATGGTTAAGCATACAGGGTGTTTAGCAAATATTTCAAGACAGCTTCCTTGTAATGTGTTGTGGGGTTTTTTTTGTGCCATTGAGCTATATAACTCACACTCTAGAAATAATTGCTCTCATTTTGTTTCCCGAATCTGAAATTTAAATGCCGAGTAAGACTTTGAATAAATAAGTGCAAACTTATTAAGCCTTCTGTACTATCTCTTTTTTTAAATCTATAAGTTTTGACGCTGAAGAACGCCAACTGACACGAATGATGATGATTTAGATAAGGTTCTTAAAATTACATAAAGTGTCTTCAAAAGATCCGTTTTAACTCAATCAGAATTACATTTTGGAAATAGGAAATGGCTTCCTCCAACTGGTGAGGAAATTATTATAGAAAACTTGGTTAAAGATGTCAGTGGAGATTCTCAATCATCCAGGTCATGGTTGTCCCAAAGGTGCTTTTCCAAAAGGCAACTGGACTTTCTTGGGTTTTTTCCCCCCTTAAAAATATTTCGCTTCTCATCTAAGAGAAGCTTATTTTTTTTTCCCAAGGAAAAAAACCAAGAAAGTCCAATTGCCTTTAGGTTTGCTAAAGATGGTTGATTCCTGGTGCCCAATCTGTTCTACTAAGACTAGAGAATGCATTTCAGACAAAGATCTTCTTCCTTGTAAGGCTGGTCTTTTCATTTTCATTCTGATTATAACCATGTTTTCCAGTCTAGTACCTTTTCCCATGGAACAGAATGTGCATTGGTCTTGGTGGAGTCTTAATGACTCAGGATTAGTCTGGGAATTATACAATTAGTGCAGGAACTACTAGAAAATGATTGTTTAGATTTGTCCCCTTGAAAAAAACATTCTACGTGCTTGGCCTAGCATGGATTTAAGCTGGGCTCTCCAAACATGGCAATTTCAAGACTTATGGACTTCAACTCCCAGAATTCCCCAGCCATCCAGGAGCTCAAGCAACAACATGACTCTGGCACAGGGACATTTTTCCTTAGATAGATAGCATTAAAGCCCCCATCCAGCTTTGCTTATTTTGTTTGAACTTTTAGCCAATTAGAGCAGCCTAAATGGTAGACACACTGATGAAATTTTAAAAAAAATTAAAGATCTTCAGTCTTTGATCAGAACGAGCTAGTCCAAATGGATTATATCTTTGAGCAATAACTAGAAGCAGTAAATGTGAATACTGCAAACTTTATTATGAGCATAAAGCCCCCCCAAACAATGTTCTACTTATAGGTTTTTATTCTGTAGTTAACTGGTCCAGGGTCTATAAGAGACTGGGTTAGATTCTTGCCCTTCCCCTGCCTATCCAGTCTTTTTAATTAGATGGCCAGATTTCTAAATAAATGAATAACTAATTAATAATTCTATTCATATAACAGGGTCCTTCTTGCCAATAAAAATAAATTGTGATAATTGACTAGGATGGAAGTTCATTGGAATTGCGTGTCTTTTTGTTGTGGTACGGCTGAACAAATAAATGTTTTGATAGGAGACACATTTTTTTCTCCCAAGAAGTTTTGAGAAAATTTTCTTAAGAATGTGCCAAGTTATCCAGATGATTCCCTGAAGGCTGATTCCAGCTTGTAGTCTTGTCTAGTCTTTTCCTATAATTCCCTCCGGTCCCTTCCCAACTTATTTTGGAGCAGATACTGATGTGAATGGAAGTCTCCATTAGGAACAAAAACAGCCAGCAAATTTACCCGCAGGTTGTGTATTGTCCTTGTCCTCAACCCCCGGTCCGTGGACCAGTACCGGGCCACGGCATGCCAGCGACCGGTCCGCACAAGCAAGGAAAGCCCCACAGGATGTAGGCAGCACACAAAACCACACCCCCTTCAGTCCACGGTAAAACCTCTCTCCACGTAACTGGTCCCTGGTGCCCAAAAGGTTGGGGACCTCTGCCTTAGGATATCTTTGATCATCTGAATTGAATGCTTCTGTAATTACCTTGTCTGCTTTAGTGGAAGATTACATTGAATGCAATGAATTTTTTTAATAAAATGTCAGAAGAATGATTTTTAGCAGAGGAACCTCTGTCTTGCATAGCTAATATCAACATCTTGACTGCAGCGACCATGTTTGCCAGAACAGATTCGCTCTGGGACAATAAGCTAAGCTAACATTTTTTTTCTATTATTCCTCTCCTTATTAATCTTTGTGGCCATTGCTGTGCTGAATGCTTTTTTTTTTACAAACTATAGCAGCCAAGGTCAATATAGTTACTGCTTAAAATTTTGCCAAGCTCCATTTGTGGGGTGGAAGGGAAAAAACGGTTTTATGATGTTACCTATTTGGGGTAATGAAACGTCTGCAAGAAAACAACCAAGCTCAGAGAGCACCAAGGACCCTGAGCTACAAATATTCCCCTTTCTTGGTAAAATGTTTTTGTCCTACCTGATAAATCTCTGTTTTGATAAGAATCAAAAAGAGACTTTGGCCTACCCATTTTAATTGTGTTTTTTTTTTTTTAAAAAAAAAAGATAGGTCGATTTTTAATTCTCCCCATTTTCTGCTTTCTCCCACCCCTCAGGTGAAAATACCAAAAATTAAGACTCTCCTTCAGCCAACGACATTTCTTATCTTCAGTTTCCCAAAGAAACTTTCTCCCTTCCTAATGCCTCTCTGTTCTTGCCCAGAATGGATAATTGCCAGATAAGACAAGATGGGCTCTGTCTGGTAGAGGTCTAGCCATTGTTTTTCTTCTATTTATACCCTATTGTCAAAATAATGTTACTTTGAAGGTGGCAGTGATGGGCATATGGCCCTGGTTGCTTTTGGCCTTGGCATGAAATTTGTGGGTCAGCATGCCTACTTTTGTGCTTGTAGACACAAGTCAACCACCCAATATGTAGTCAGCTCTGTAAGAATATATTTTTTTAGATTTTTCTACAAAGCTCCTTATTTATTTATTTAGGAATGACTAGTAAGATAGTACCATGAAACATGATTAAAGGTTATGCTGATAAAATGTTAGTGTGTATGTGTATATATACACTAGTTAGTGTGTATGTGTATATATACACTCGCACAAGCACGAAGCCGAAGACCCCAGCCTGAAGATGACGAGTGGGACCTCGTCGAAACGTCGCCAAGATACTCTCAATCTTACACTGGAAAAGACCCGAATACGCCAAGACCTGCATATATATATATGCCAAGTCTTCTGCTTTAAAAGGGAGAAAAAAAACTGTTTGAGCCTTTCTAGCACAAATAGGATAGACTTTAAAATGCATAAATTGCTAGCTATGCACTGAGAAACGTAACCCAAACTTTCAAAAGGTGGTATTAATTATTTTATTTATTTGTTTTACTTCACGCCTACCCTTAGGTTAACGCAGTATATTCCTTCTGTCTTTCTCTGTTTTCATTCTCTTATTAACTCTGCTGTCTGTGTCTTTCCAGTTCCTTTGGACAACATTCTCAGTTGTGTTCTTGTTGGGGGTGTGTGTGACTGTGTGTGTTTGTGTGTCTTCTTTTTCTTTCTTTCACTATATTCTGCTGCCATAACTGATCTACTTATTTGCTGTTTTGAACTCAGCCTTTGTCGGAATTATGGGTAACACAAGATCATACAAACTACTAGACTGGAATAGTTGCAATTCAGGTATTTTATTAGTCATTCAGTACTACATACACTGACAAAAATTATGGCAGCTCAGTGAAGTCTTTTTTAGAAATACCTTACCTCATGGCCCAGCTAAATGTTTCAAATTTCATCACTTTTTTTAATTGTGAAAATTTAAGATAGCTTTTACGATAAATATGGTAGGTGATACTGTGAAATTAAATCCCATTAAGTTTGTTGCTAGACTGTATATCCCTCATTATCCCTGTATATCAGTATAATTTAAATCATGCTCCAAAATCTTTCCACTTGAAATTTAGCTTTTTCTGGACTAGAAGCAGGATTTTCTGTGTGGGTCTTAGTTACAGAGAAATTTCATTTGAAGATTTTATCTGTATTAGAAGCAAAATATGTTGTTGTTGAATAAGACTTTCATACTGTTTAGGTTAGTTGTGGATTTTAGATATATTTACAGTTTTAATATGGGTCATTTAATTTTTAAATCGTCCCATAACATAATAATGGCTAACTTAATGGCTAGCCCATAACATAATGTGGCTAAAGCCACATTATCAAGCTACACTATTGAAGTAGGGCTGGAAACCACGTGCATGATTATGTATGATTTGGTCTGTGTATTGCAGGGATGTCAAACTCACAACGTCACATGATGTATCGTGACTTTTTTTCCATTGCCGGCAATGGGGTGGGCGCAGTTTTGCCATGACACATCTGGCCCGTGGGCCGGCAGTTTGACACCCCTGGTGTATTGGATATTGGGTTACTGGATTAAAGAAATGAAAAACTTGTGTCTTACTTATTCTTTCATTCAAGATCAAATAATTTAAATAGTGCTGAGGACCTGACTATGCAAAATGAATGACATACTCCTGTCTGGGACCTTAGATGGAGAGTTATTTTTTTAAGTTGGAAAAAAAAAAGCTGATCAGAATGAGTTGTAGTATATTTTTTCTACAAATGAATATTCAGCTTGCTTATGTTAATTATGTTACAGTGAGTTTGTATTCATGTGCTTCACTGTAAGAAGTTTGAAAAGGAAACCCTATTCTGGAATCTCTTTTTTAGTTGTACCCAATTTCAGTCAGTGAAAAAGCATGAGATATATTTATAATGTTACGTTGGTACAAATATTTACTTAGCCATTGCATTTAAATTCCACCCTTTCCCCCACTGTACAGTACTTTAATTCAAGGAAACAAACAGGCAAAGAAGTAGAAGTAGCACAAGTCTTATATGTGAGTCAACAGCATAATTGATAACGTTGTTGTCAAAGACAAAACTTATTTGACTCTGTTTTCATTTGTCTCTGAA